TGAGAACAGGCTGAGGTAGGGACCTCAGAGTCCAGGACAGCAAAAGAATTAGAGACGGGTGACCATGGAATGGGTGACCACAGAGGAGGCTGCAGAAGTTGGGACCCCAGAGGAGAGGGGTTATATTTAGTAACTTGAGAGTAAGAAATACGGGGAAGTTTCCCTTGGAGGCATAGATGAGACTGCCATAGCATATGGGAGGCCTTCTGCCTCTGAGACAATGGATTTCACACTCATTTAAGTAAACTGTGCAGCAGCGAGAGTAAGATGGGCGAGCCTCATGACAATTAAGGCAAGAGGGAGGTAGACTGCAAGACGTATTGGCATGGTCATCAGCACCACAGAATGGGGATTTGGCCATAGACCTGCAATATTTTACTGGATGACCAAAACGCCAGCACTTTCTACACTGTTGCAGTGTAGGGATCACCTTTCTTACTTCTAAATGGTGTCCAGCAACATATACAGAGGACGGAAGCTCATGGCAGTCAAAAGTTAAGCGGGCAGGGAGGACATAAGTGTCTACTTTGAGGATTGGGAGGTCTTGGAGTTCTAGCTGTTCCAGAATGCTATTGCCACATGTCTGGAAATTCTGTTGGACAATGGTATGGGGGCAGAATGACAGTACCACTACAAGAATCGAGGAATAATGTTTTTCAAGTTACTGGAATAGTAACGACAGTTGTAAGAGAAAGATCGTGAGCTTGATTAGCATTGTGGACAGTGATGATGCATGTACCGCTCTTGAAAGCACGAAAGTATATATCTCTACCAACATGGAGTAAAACTGCCTTAACAGTACTATGGTCAGAAAGATAGTAGAGGAAGTCGGTTGTAGAGTAAAAAACTTAGTCCCTTGTGTATGCTGAAACACAGCATGTAAAGGGAGTGCATGACGTACCGGTCATTTCTGAGAAGAATGAGAAGGAAGCGAAGAAGCATCTGGGAATGGTCTTGGGCATTTAGGTGAGGAACTGGAGTGGGTCCGACGTGGTATGGGCGGGCGGTCTGAAAACTGCTGCACCATAGAGGGAGAAGCCAGAAGCAAAGTTAAAGAAGAGCAGAGATCAGACATATCAAAAGTCAGTTGAAACCCTGGTACCTAAAGCAGGTGACAAAACAGCACCAGCAAGAGGTACAGGGGCATTAGGAATGTCCAAAGAGTGATCAAATGAGGCAGGGTCTGAACAGGGTACAGTATCAGTAAGGGGCCCAGGGGGAGCAGGTTCATGGATTTGGGACTCCATGGTTATGTCACTTCTTTCTTGTTGTTTTGTAGAAAAAAATGAATGAAAAAGAAAAAAAAGGGAGGGGGGTATGTGGAGGAATAGCTCCTAGGAGGCAAAAATGGGCCATAAATCCCCCTCAATACCCAAGAGGACCCAAGCACCGCAAGTAGTGCAGATGTAGCATGGAACCCATGCCATACACTACCCTTCATGCCAGTAAACCAGCACTCCGGGATAGCAACCTCACATCCACCAAGCCACCTCGGTGGACAAAAGAGAGGGCGGCCAGACACCCGCCACAAAGCATACCTCCTCTGGCCACCACCCCCAGGAATCTGACAGGCAGCCTCTAGATACCCATCACCCGAAAAACACCCAAAGCCACCCTGCAGGAGACCGGAGAGGGATCGGAACACCACCAGGTGATCCAGATTCCACGGCAAACTACACCACCGCCAAGGACCTCGATGGAATAGGATGGACCCTGGTACCCTTCCCCCTACCTAGGAACTAGGGTGCCTGTGGGAAGTCTCCCAAAGAAAATAGGAAGGGAATGGGGGAGGATGGGATAAGGAATGGGGGATTGGGGGGGGTAATTAGGTTCAGTCTGAGGAAGGAGACCAAAAGGTCTAATTCCTCAGACTTAGAGCCTCTTCACCACACCAAAGAGCCCCCCTTGAAGAGGGCAGGATTGGTACAGTTTCTTAGATTAAGAGTCCCACTTTCCCTGAAGAGTACAAACATTACCTTTGACGATTCCTGATTAATACAAAGGACAAAAACAGTCGGTGAAGCATTTTTGGTTTATTGTGTGCATTACAATACATTCCATTATGGATGGTAAATACATGAACGCAATTTTCGCACTCAGAAAATAACACAAGGGCCTAGGAGTAGTGGAAAGTGTTGGCCAAATGCCTCTTTCTTCCCTTACGCAGGGGTCTTGTGAGCAGAAAGATTCGTTGATTTGCAGCACAGGTCCCAAGCTGTAATGACGCACTGGCTACTCGATGAGAATCTACACCTTCAAAAATTATAATACTTTTTTCAGGAAGAGCTGTACAATATCTAATTAAATTCATATTTTATTTCTAAATCAAAGAAAATTTTCCCTAAGAAATAACTCTGAAGAGGATGCATGAAAGCACAGTACGGTAATACAGTATACAATAATCCCTTGAAATTCGCTAATTTTGACTAAATTATTCAATAAATTATTTTTGTAGAAATATCTTGTGAATACACACACACTCACAGGTCCCATCCACAGTGCTGTAAGTTAAAAAGGTATAAATAACATTTTCATTTTTTTACAAAAAATTAACAGTTTAGCCCAGACCAGAGGCTTGGGTAGTATACTGCAAGTTTATTTTACAACACTATGTAATGCAGGCAATGTACTGGTACTCTCAATTTTAACATATGCCATAGTCTGACACACATCCCACACAAATTATCGAGGGATTACTGTACTGTGGAATCTGAACTAAATATGACTAGCTAAGTTTTTCATTTATCCCACCAACTTCACACCACAGGCATCTTGAAATAAAATTGAAGGACACCAACCTGATTTTGCTTTACATCTGCTAACCTTTAAATAAACTACTGTACATATATGAACAAAATGAATGCAGAACTATGTGGAATGTATAGTACTTAACAACAACAATAATGGGAATACTCAGTCATCAAGGAATGCCTCTATATACAAACAAATATCCCTTCATGAACCACTCTCTCACTGATATTGTATCACTGACAGTAAATGAAGCCAGTCAGGTAAAAAGCATCCTCAATATATATATATTATATACACATGCAAGTAATAAGGTCCCTAAGTGAAAATTTAGGAAAAAAAAAATTTCATTTGCATTTGCCAGATATTCCTTGACTGCTGACCCATTAACGCTTTCAAACATCCTCACCTAGCATAGCAACAGTATCTACAGCACTGAATTTATCACTATACAATTAATACCAGAGATCGCTTGTGTAGTTTCACAGCCTCTGTATTATCATTTATGCCAACACTTACGAAGCTATTATTATTATTTATTTAGCACTCTGTTTTCAATAAACGAAAATTACAAACAAGAGACATTACAGAGACACTTTACCTTCAGGATACAACAAGAGGGGCAAATTTCTTGCAATTTTTTTTCAGGCTACACTCACGAACTCTGAAGTTCCAATAAACCTGCATACATTTATACACCAATATCTAGATATAATTACATAAAGAGAACCTGGCTACTCTGCCTTTTCACATAGGTACAACATTTACACAAAAACAAAAATATAGTCTTGTCAACTAAATAACAAAGACTGGCGGTGGTTCAATAATACGCAATAATAATACATGTACCACCATTAGTGTGTTTTCCCAGAGAATGTGTTAGTACTGGTGTAGGCAGTGTAAAATTAGCGAGATTAAGAAAATAGATCTTGGTAGCATTGCCAGATCTGTTTGAACCTTTTTCGATTGAGAACAACACTAGCATATTATCCCTGATAATACCATTTTGTTTGCATTCCCTTTATAAACTAAGTTTTAGAATCAAAGAGCTCTAGTTTGATATGTGGAAGTATGTCAGAAAGAGTGAAACAGTATGCAGAAGATTTTAGCACTTAATGGCAAAAATAATGGCTTTGTGATCAAAATATACAAATATATCCACATTTTTACATTTCTGCTTCAAGGAAAATACATTAACATTGTTAATCTCTCTTTTGTTTCCATCCTATATACATAATGCACATTTCAAAATATAAAGTGAAATTTCATAGGAAAGTCAAGGAGTCAACACTGCCTTTACTCCTCACAATTCTGAATGTTTATGTACCAACTGCTGCAGGGTTGCCAGATGAAAATAAACTTATTAGGTGCACTGAACTAAAGCAATTTAAACTGAAATGTTGAGCACTGAGCCAAATTTTTCCCCATCAATGTTATTTTCCTCATTTACTGCCTGATTTACAACAGAATGCTCAGCTTAAAAAACTAAAGGGAGAAATAAAAGATGTTTCCTTAAATAACATTCATGCTTGGGCAATAAAGTATAAAGGGTTAAGAAATCTCAATCTTTTATGAAGAAAGAGTCACTAGAATTTTTAATTCCAGACCTAAAGAAAAATATGCTGGTGGATAAATCTAAATTACTGTAAACAGCATTTTAAACCAGTATTTAAAAAAAAAAATATTGTGCCAAGTACATTATGAATATCATAATTCTTAAAAAAATTATATATACACAATACATATACATAATATACAATATACATATGCACATACACATATACAAATATGCATATATACACATACATATATATAGCCAGGTGTGTGTGTGTGACGTGTGTGTGTGTGTGACGTGTGTGACGTATGTGCGCGTGTCGAGGTCGAGGTTCTGACCAGAGCTTTGGTGAGATGGGGAAGGAAGAAAGATGGATAAGGATGGAATGTGTGAAAGATCAGGGTGGGTGGGGGGAGAGGTGGGGTTTTAAAGGTAAGTGGTCTATCCACTTTGGTGCAATATATGTATGAATGTATGTGTGTGTGTGTGTGTGTGTGTGTGTGTGTGTGTGTGTGTGTGTGTGTGTGTGTGTGTGTGTGTGTGTGTGTGTGTATGTGTGTGTGTGTGTGTATGTGTATGTGTATGTGTATGTGTATGTGTATGTGTATGTGTGTATATATATATATATATATATATATATATTATATAATATATATATATATATATATAAATATATATATTATTATATATATATATATATATATATATACATACATACATACTTGATTGCCTAAAACAAAGGTGGCAACCCTCGCAGAATGCACATTTTAAGAGACATTTCACACTTCCATTACTAAATGCACAAGACTAAATGTCAAATTTCTGTACAGTAAACATTTGAATCAAAGTAGTGTTTCACACCTTAAGTAGTTAAGATTTTTACTTTATTATTGCAGGTTATTGGCACATGAGTAAGGGAAAAAAGGTTGAGAGTAACAGTTTCTGTCATAACAAATGCAGGGTTATCCAGTCAAAAAATAAACTAAAAAAATAAAGCTTTCCATGTGAGTTAACTTACCCATACCAACCAAACCACATGAGGTTTTAGATACATACTATTTATTCTTTAGGATGCAGTTAAGAGGTGATTCTTTCCATCATTATTTAGGACAGCTGGCCTTCTCGTGATCAATGTAAACATAAAACTATTAGAATAGAATAGAAAAACTTTTTACAATTATAAATTATGTATATTGTACGTTATAACCCAAATTATTCAAAATTAATTGATAGCAACAACAAAAGCTTATTTTACAAAATGCACAAAATATAAATCAAATTTCTGACCAAGATAAAAGTTCATCAACAAAGCACTAAATTACCAAAGCACACCATACTGTACTGACGTACCATAGTAGTGCTAATAGGAATATCTACTGAGGAAATAACACTGCTACACACTACCACATCTGTATGCAACTTGTTGTTACCGTGAAGTAAAAATACACTTTAATAAAGCCTGTCTTTCATGTGAAATACATTTACACCTTTTGGGTTGCTACATTGCATGTTAAATGTAGATCCTTCCAAAGTGTTAAATTTAACTAAACTGGTAAAGCTAAAATTACCAAAATATCTTCTTAAGAGTTAACACCTCAGTAACAGAACAAGAGCTTAGCTTCAAAGGTTCATGTTATTAAGAGATCCTCTGAAAGTTGCGCTAAGATGAGCAAGGCGAGTTCTTGAGTCAACATAACATTTGTTCTCATACCCAAGCCTCACCTTTGGTAAAATAATGTTTCTAGTTCTTCTACAATCTCAGCTTAACATAACACTGTGCAAGGGCTGTGTCCTCCCCTGACTAGTGACACTTCCTAGATGGCCTGGCCACCAGGAAAAGCTGGCAAATATCAGGCAATACTTGGTGGCTAGTGGCAGCAGAAGTGTTAGTGCTATCCAGCTGAGTGGTGCCGACTAGTAAAGTAACTGACTAGCTGAGCCTCGTATCCGCAGTCTAATAGGGCGGTGCCTGCTGCATACCTGTATACAAAGATTGAAAAACTTTAAAAAAGCTAAATTCTGTCAAGAATGCAAAAAAAATATGCAGCAACCACACATCCAGAATTTTTTCAAAACATTTATCAGCACACTAGCTATCTCCCATGAAGGTAGTGACTCCTCACAGAAGGAAACACATTCACCATCATTCATTCAAAGCTTTCTTTCCAGAAGTGCACATACATTCTAATTTAAATAATCCTTTCAACTGCAACTAGCCCCACCCCTCCTTCAGAGACTTAAGTCTGACTAACCATTTTTCCTGAATCCCTTTCATTAATATCATCTTGATCCTTCTCCATCAGAACTTAAAAATAAATAAATAACTTTCCTCTGCAATCCTGGTCTCTGTCTTACCCCTAACCCTTTCAGGGTTGGTGCTGTACTAGTACGCATAAATTCTAGCGCCTTCAAATGTAGCGAGAGAAAGCTGGTGGGCCTACATATGAAAGAATGGGTCTATGTGGTCAGCGTGCACAGTATAAAAAAAATCCTGCAGCACACAGTGCATAATGAGAAAAAAAAAAACTGTGTTTTTGGTTTAAAACAACAACTTTGCAGTGTATTTTCGTATGCTATTTATGGTTGTATTCTAGTTTTCCTGGTCTCATTTTATAGAATGGAAGACACATTACAGAAATTGAGATGATTTTTATTGGTTTCACAATGAAAAGTACCTTGAAATTGAGCTCAAAGTAGCAGAAATGTTCGATTTTTGCCAAAGTTCAAAAGTAAATACAGTGGACCCCAAGTTTCGTGATTAATCCGTTCCAGAGTGTCTGCCTAAAGTCGAAATTCACAAAACTCGAAACCATTTTCCCCATAAGAAATATTTTTATTTTTTTTTTTATTATCACACCGGCCGATTCCCACCAAGGCAGGGTGGCCCGAAAAAGAAAAACTTTCACCATCATTCACTCCATCACTGTCTTGCCAGAAGGGTGCTTTACACTACAGTTTTTAAACTGCAACATTAACACCCCTCCTTCAGAGTGCAGGCACTGTACTTCCCATCTCCAGGACTCAAGTCCGGCCTGCCGGTTTCCCTGAATCCCTTCATAAATGTTACTTTGCTCACACTCCAACAGCACGTCAAGTATTAAAAACCATTTGTCTCCATTCACTCCTATCAAACACGCTCACGCATGCCTGCTGGAAGTCCAAGCCCCTCGCACACAAAACCTCCTTTACCCCCTCCCTCCAACCCTTCCTAGGCCGACCCCTACCCCGCCTTCCTTCCACTACAGACTGATACACTCTTGAAGTCATTCTGTTTCGCTCCATTCTCTCTACATGTCCGAACCACCTCAACAACCCTTCCTCAGCCCTCTGGACAACAGTTTTGGTAATCCCGCACCTCCTCCTAACTTCCAAACTACGAATTCTCTGCATTATATTCACACCACACATTGCCCTCAGACATGACATCTCCACTGCCTCCAGCCTTCTCCTCGCTGCAACATTCATCACCCACGCTTCACACCCATATAAGAGCGTTGGTAAAACTATACTCTCATACATTCCCCTCTTTGCCTCCAAGGACAAAGTTCTTTGTCTCCACAGAAATAAAATTAATCCGTTCCAGACACCCAAAAATATTAAAATATTTTTTTTCAAATTAAATAAAGATTTACATACTGAAAGCAATCAGAAATCAAGTACATGCATATAAAAATAATAATATTAATATTACACTTACCTTTACTGAAGACTTCTGGGTGGATGGAAGACGGGAGGAGGGGATAGGAGGAAGGTGTACACTATTGTTTGGAAGGAGAATCTCCTTCCATTAGGACTTCAGGTAGCAAGTCCTTTTCTGGGGTTACTTCCCTTTTAATGCCACTGGGAACAACTTGAGAGTCACTGGACCCCTGTTGCACAAAATATCTGTCCAGAGAGGTCTGTTTCTGGCATTTCTTTATGATTTGCCTGAAGTGGGACAAGGTTTTGTCACTGAACATGTTGCAGATATGGCTTGTTTCAGCTTGGTCAGGGTGATACTTTTCAACAAAACTTTGTAACTCATTCCACTTTGAACATATGTCCTTAATCGCCGAAGAAGGCACCTCCTTCACTCTCTTTTCCTCCTCCTCTGAAGCAAGTTCCTCAGCTGTGGTCTGATGCTGTTCCAGTTGAAGCTCTTGCAGTTCGTCAGTGGTTAGCTCTTCCCTGTGGTCCTCCACCAACTCTTCCACATCCCCGTCACTCACCTCCAACCCCATGGACTTGCCCAATGCCACAACACCTTCCACAACAGGCAGAGGGTCGGCAGGGTCAAGGTCTGCCTCAAACCCTTCAAAATCCCTCTGGATCGTGTTCTTCACTTTCTTTACCAAAAGGCTTGCACTAGCTTTCCTTGGGCCCATGGTGACTTATTTAGCAGTTGCAATCACAAAACACAATGGATTATTACATATGAACCCGCGGGGTGATGGTCACGTGTTGGTAAACAATGGCACACTGAGCATGAATAGCATGAGAGACTGGCTTTGTGTATGCGGTGACGGGCGGACGGGTACCAGACGGTCGCCGAATCACTAGTCTAACCACTAAACTTGAGGCCAAATTTTGCCAAAAAAAAAATTGCCAGAAGTCGAATTTCACAAATTTCTATGCTGACAAAACTCAGGGGGTCCACTGTAAATCAAGCTATGCATCCAATACACATCAAATGGTGAGTCTAATATTCTTTCAAAGTGTGCTGATATTATTTATACCATTTCTACACTAATGCAGTAGTCTGCATAACAGTAAATCTTCTATTTTTTGTGAGAATAAAAATTCTAAGTGGAAAGCAAAAGAAATGTAACAGAGGCCTAGGGACATGACTAATGAACAGAGGAAATGTTATTTTAGTGCCAGGAATGTCTGTCTTATTTATTCTGGACCCTATTTGGAAATTGGCATCTTTTGAAATTTGTGTGAAATTGGCAAAATTGCCAATTTTGGACCAGTTTACTGGATAGTTGAAATCAGTAAATGGGTGTTTCTTGTACTCAATCGATAGAAAAAATGTAGCTCTAGCAAAACAGTTATGATTTTTGTCGACTGGTACATTATAATTGGCCGAAAATAGGGCTCAAAGTGGGTGAAATCACCAGTGCATAAACATCGTCGAGATCACTAACTTCGCGAGAGCATAATTCCGTAAGTTTTCCATCAAATTTCATATTTTTGGTGTCATTATGATCGGGAAAAGCTTCTCTATTATTTCATAAGATTTTTTTTTTTTTTTTTTTTTTTTTTCAAAAAATTTCTGGCCCTCTTCCCCTTTTCTCTTTCCTTTTCTCCTCTGGGTTGTCTTTCTCTCTTCTGTCTCGTGTTTCTGTTCCTTCTTCATTTATTTCACCACTTCCCCTTTCACGCACCTCTGTGCGCTTGCTCTCCCTCTGTGGGCACCCAGCTCTCTTGCAGTGCTCCCCTTCCTTTGTATTTGACTGGCTCGTCCTCCTTATTCCCCACTTCTACCACTACCACTACTACTACCTCTTCTACTACTACTACTACTACTGATGAAATTAAGACACATGTGCAGCATCTGGTTGTCTTTGTTGTGGACGTTTCGCCATCCATTGGCCGGCTGGATGGCGAAACGTCTACGATAGGGATGCCCGGGTGTTGCGCATGTGTCTTAATTTCATCTTGTCGGTATTATACAGTGGACCCCCGCATAGCGACTTTAATCCGTGCAAGAGGGCTCATTGTTATGCGAAATGATCGGTATGCGAATGAATTTTCCCCATAAGAAATAATGGAAATCAAATTAATCCGTGCAAGACTCCCAAAAGTATGAAAAAAAAAATTTTACCACATGAAATATACATTTTCCTACACACAAAGAGAAGGATACATGCACAATAGTAGAGTAGTACATGCACAATATATATTGTGCATGTACTACTCTACTAAATGAAGAATAAATGACTGATGAGACACTGTGTCCTGGGAGTGCCTTTTCCTCCTGAGTACTGTAGGTCCTGTTTGGCATTTTCTTCCAGAACAGGCCTTATCACACTGTGTATGCCACTACGATTCTTAAATCTCTCAAACCAACCTTTGCTGGCTTTAAATTCACCAATATGAGCACTAGTTCCAGGCATTTTTCCCTGTTCACCTGGGTGTTAGTCGACTGGTGTGGGTTGCATCCTGGGAGACAAGATTAAGGACCCCAATGGAAATAAGTTAGACAGTCTTCGATGACACTGACTTTTTTGGGTTATCCTGGGTGGCAAATCCTCTGGGGTTAATTGTTTCTTGGTATTCTCAATAAGCCACACCAACAACGGTGCTACAGCAGCAGCAGCAGCAGCTGACAGTGCTACAGCAGCAGCAGCTGACAGTGCTACAGCAGCAGCAGCTGACAGTGCTACAGCAGCAGCAGACGATGCTACAGCAGCAACAGACGATGCTACAGCAGCAGCAGCAGCTGACAGTGCTACAGCAGCAGCAGACGATGCTACAGCAGCAGCAGACGATGCTACAGCAGCAGCAGCAGATGCTACAGCAGCAGCAGCAGATGGTACTACAGCAGCAGCAGCAGCAGCTGATGGTGGTACAACAGCAGCAGCAGCTGTACCACCAACAGTAGCGATCGTTGATTGGGGTTTATTATACAACCTGGCCAGCTCGGAGACACGCACTCCACTTTCATACTTATCAATGATCTTTTTCTTCATCTCTATAGTAATTCTCACCCTTATTGCTGTAGGGTTGGCACTAGAAGCTTTCTTGGGGCCCATGGTCACTTATTTTGCAGATAAAATCACCAAAAACACTGTAATAATACGAAATGTTCCGATTGTATGCTTGGATGTTACCGCGGAGGCTGGCTGGTAAACACTGCCACCGGCGGCACATGTGAGGCTGGCTAAGGGCACACATTGGACGCGTCTCGGACGAAGAGCGGTGAGTGGGTTTTTGAGCGGTATGCGAGGCAAAATTTTTGCGATAAAAGCGAGCGGTATGCGGATTGAACGTTATGT